AGAACTAGTAACTAATTAGTCGGTGTCATCCTAGCAGCAGACCCCTCGCAGGGAGAAGACTTTACATGTGCTTGCAAATTCCGTGAGGCCCACGCCATGTCCATGCCAAAGATGCAGTTTCCCCCTTCAAAGTGCCACAGCTGATCCTCCGCAGGCATTCAGAACGAACTGCCCCAACTGTTAAAGCATCTACTGTTGAGATCGCAGTCGTCTATAAATGAAGGTCACGTGTGTCAACACATGTGCATCGACTCTGTGGATGTGGTGACTCTTGGAGGCAAGTTTGACAACATCAAAATACGTGGAACTTTCAGTAACGACTGCGTGTCAATGTCTGAAGCCCTGGACCAGCAAACCTGATTGACTAAGGCGCACAACACATCTGTGCCACGAAAAGCCTTCCGAGGATGAGAACCACCTAAACCCTCACCCCTAAACCAGAACCTCTGTAACAGCTGGACCGCTCTGGTCATGCCCAGCCGATTCCAAGCTCGACATGTCTGCTACAAGTAGGTAGGGTAACTATAACCCTCCAAGTACAGCTGCACCACGCCAGTGAAACTAAAGCTTTTTGCATGCAAAAGAGTTTAGGGTGTGAGGGTGTCGAATAGTGCGGGGGTGCGAGGTGTAGAGCTATGCAACAATTCCTGAAAAACCCAAACCATTTGCACCTATGCATCGTCAAAACCGCCGCCTGGCGGCCCCAATAGCATGTTCACACAGAAACCCTAAACCTTAGAAGGGGCCCCCACCCTGCAATACTGGTAGAATAATAGGGCCCTAGTATGATCCTTTTAGTCACTATTACAGGGTGGGGGCAGCTTCAAACCTAAACCCTGAACCCTAAACCCCTAAACCAAGCCAAAAACTCCTCCTAACTTTATAGGATCCTTAAGGGATGGTGGTTCAAGGGGGGATGGTTTCAGGAATCCTCAGGGGACTGTAAGGGAACCTTAGGGAGTACTAGGGAGAATTAGGGATCACTGGGCTATTTACCCCCCTTAGACCCCCCTCCCTTAAGGATACTACAAAAGGGCTCGCAGGCATGAGCAACCAAACCCCAAGCCTACTGTAGGGGCCTTAATAATTAGAATAGGGTTTTGGGACCCATTATACAAAAAATAAAAAAAGGAAACACCCAAAATGGTATTGGTTATCATTATTATTATTATCATTATTATTATTATTATTATTTTATTATTACTATTTTTTTATTATTAGTATTATTATTAGTATTATTAGTATTATTATCATTATTATTATTAGTAGTAGTAGTAGTATTAGTAATATTATTATTTTATTATTATTATTATTCACGGACATCTGTCGGTCAGACAAGCGAGTCGAACGAGCCTGGTAGCACTTTGGCCACTGAGGCCCCTATATTGTCAAACCGTCAACCCAAAATCCTCAACCGTGAACCCTAAACCCTAAACCCGAAACCCTAAACCCGAAACCCAAAATCCTCAACCTAAACCCTAAACCCTAAAACCGAAACCCTAAACCCTAAACCTTAAACCCAAAATCCTGAACCCAACACTGTGGCCTGCACCGCCTCACAGGTGGTCGTGCTGACATCAGGGCCAGCGCCCTGCAAAGCGGGTCCAAAGCAAGAGCACCCCGCACTAAGCCAGAAATTCAAGGTTTAGGGTTTTAGGATTTTAGGATTTTAGGATTTTAGGTTTGTTTGTTTATCAACTCTTTTCGTCAGCTGGGTTGCAACTTTCCGAAAGTCATGTCGACTGAGGCAGTTGTGAAACACCTCTATGACTTCACAGCAAGATGACCACCTACCCCCAGGGTTTAGGATGCGGGGTTTTGGCTCGCACAGAGGCGGTCAGCTCAACCTTTGAATGGAAGCTTTCGGGTCTGAAGCTGTTGACGGTTTTTTCCCCTACCACCTAGCTGTTGACGGTTTAGGGTTTGGGGTTTAGGGTTTGGGGTTTAGGGTTTAGGGTTTGGGGTTTAGGGTTTGGGGTTTGGGGTTTAGGGTGTAGGGTTTGTGCTTAGTGAGTGCTTCAAGTGACCGAGGATCCCGGAACCAGCCCACTGATATAGGGTTTGGGGGATATGCTATACTCGAATTATGCTTGGATGAATTCCTACTCTATTTCGAATAAGATCTAATTGGAATAAAGAGCCCAAGAATTGTATTAGCAACTACGCAGAGTAGCCCTTCGAAGCCCAAACTCCTCTTCTGTGAATGACACAGACTGCGCTCGTGCGTCATCATCCATGTTGCTGGTGGCCTGTACCATGACACAACCAGAATGCGAGACCAGCATTTGTCTTTCCTTAGCCATGACCCAAAGGCTATCCGGTTTAGGGTTTAGGGTTTAGGGCAAGCCTGAGACTCAACCTTGGCATCCGTAGCTGCTGCCGGCACTACGGCAGCGCTGATCTCGTGCTTGTGTCAGCCATATGCAACACCCGAAACAGGACGCAACCCCTGAAAGGCATACTGTAGTAGAACCTCATCCAAGTGGGTTTAGGGCTTAGGGTTCATGACACAGCGAATATCAACGTTCGCCGAGATTTCGCGCTTCCAGGGTTACAATGACTAGCAGGCTCCCAGCAGTGAAAAAGTGACAAGGATGGCATTAGGGTTTAGGGTTTAGGGTCAGTTGCTACTCGAACTGTCTTGGCATGAGCTGACACCGCGATTTCAGCATGGCCTGGCAGTTTGGCACGTGGGCTCACAACGCTGTTGATGCAGGGCTCTAGTTAGTTTAGTTCTTGAGGGCCCATCTCAAATCCATCCGGATCCGCCGTCACAGACACATGTGACTGCCACGGCTCCAGCTGCAGCGCATCTGCATCACAGCTGTCAAGCCACAGTGAATTTTGGCCTGAGCTCGCATCAAACTTACCTTTGGTTAGTAGGTACTGGAAGAATGGCAGTATTTAACGGCAGCTATAATTTTACCCCATTCCTCCATTCCCTACTAACCAAAGGCAAGCAAAGTCTGAATTGAACCATCTGTTCAGACCGGCAACACCCTGAATCCTCTGTCAAACAAACATACTGGAAGGTTCATGGGCAGGTTCATAAGTAGGGTAGCTATAACCCCTATTAAGGGACTTATAACCCTACTTACAACTACCCATGAAACTCCAAGTAGGCAGAACAACTAGCAAAACTGTGGTGGTGTTGGGACTGATGATGATGGGGTGGTGGTCAAACCCACAGCCATCGTTGGAATGGCATTTTGTAGTTTGAGCGTGGCGCGGGACATCATATGGTTGCATCAGCGGTGCCAGGGTTGCTGATTTTTGCTGTTGTGGTGGTTGAAATGGCTCGTTGTTGTCCCTGTCGACACCGTTGTGGTTTCGGCTTTGACCGCTGCCACCGTCGCATTCTGTCACGACCTGGCCAAGACACGCCTAAACCCGTGCTAAGCTGAGCTGCGCTGAAATAGGCACCTGTTCTCTTCGGGCTTCCCCGTGCGCAGGAAGGAGTCGGAATCCTCTCCAAGAAGCTCCAGCTTCACGCTTTTAGGGTTTAGGGTTTAGGGTTTCAGCACTTGGGTCCAGCAAGAGAGATGTGAGAAATCGATGGAACAGCCCCTGAACTCAACAAGATCCTTTAGGACTCGCAGTTGAGGGTCTTAGCCTCACCAGGAGACGTCCGCTGTAGTAGCAAAAGCAGGCCCAGAAGCCCAAACGACCCCCCTTCTCCCCCGGATCCGCGATCGTCCTGCCAGTACGATGCCTCCTCTTCGTCGGAACCACAGGCCGGTTTCAGGAGAACTTGCTGTGAGCCACAGGCGCGCAAAACCTGGCGCTCCTGAAAGGGCACTTGGAGGTTCATGGGTAGTTACAAAGGGGCTTCTAAGTCCCCTAATATGGGTCATAAGTATGGTTACCCTAATTATAACTACCCATGAACCTCCAAGCACGGACAGAATCTGTGAACGTCAGCGCCGCTCAATGTCCCCTCAAACGAAAACTTCAACCTGTCACGAAGCATTGTGATCCAAAGCAGAGAGCGAGAACCCAACACTCGACGGTACCAGCTCCTGCCCACTTGCATTCTGCAGTTGCAGCACCAGCGGCGACCTCCGGGGACCCCTTCAGTTTGGCTGCGCTACGTTGGGAGCTTGCGTCACTGACACTCCCATATATAAGTGTTCCCTCGGCGAGTGTACCAATCTTCACAACAAGGGCTTCGAAACTCTGGGTTGCGGCTGCCGTCTTGCGGCTTGCTTCTGCGCTTGGAGGGCAGAGCGGAAGCACAAACAACTGCAACCAAAACCTCAAAACCCTAAACCCCTAAACCTAACCTCCATAAGGCCGAGGCCGCAAACAGTTGGTCCCTTGAGTCTGTCACCTGCGTTATCAAACAAAACACTATCAGTAGCCACAAGCATGTGTTCAGAAGACCCTCTGACAGCCAAGCAACAAGAACAGCGAGAAAAAGCCCGGTGATACCATTGAAGCCATCACTTGCGCAGTTTGCTTCTGAATCCGTAAAGCTTGTGCAAAACTGAAAAGGAGACTATTTCATAGTCCATCCGAGTCGTGCTGTCATAAACATAACAAACAAGTTCAAAGAGCACTAAAGAAAGATCCGAAGCTGGTCGGCCAACTTTAAAACCACTTCGCATGACCTCTTTTCGGCCTACCGAGCTGATAGCCATTGCAGTTTGCTTGAAAACCCAAGCCGGCTCAAAGAGCTCCGGCTCTGAATGTCCGGAAGGGCCTTAGGGCTTTAGGGGCTTAGGGGTTTAGGGTTCTGGGTTTTTGGGGTTTAGGGTTTAGGGTTTAGGGGTTTTGGGGTTTAGGGTTTAGGGGTTTTGGGGTTTAGGGACCTTGATGGCCAGCTGGCGGTCAGGCACCCCGAAGCCCGCGAGGAACTTGCGTAGCTGACCTGGACTGCGAATCAGGGCTTCGGCCTTTCCCACGGATTAGGGTTTGGGGTTTAGGGGTCTTGGGGTTTAGAGTTTAGGGGTTTTGGGGTTTAGGGGTTTAGGGGTTTAGGGGTTTGGGGGTTTTGGGGTTTAGGGTTTAGGGGTTTGGGGTTTAGGGTTTCGGGTGCATGACGGAAATGGGAATAACCCGTCTAAGATGCAAATCTCCAGCAGGATTTCAATCCGAATGTGAGAAAGGACCCCAAGCCAACAGTCACTTACAACCCCAAGAGGCCTCCGAGCCATCCAGAATGGCACACTTCTACCTAGAAGCAACCAGGTCAGAAGGAATGGAGATTCCGTTCCCATAAGCTGCCGTTGATGCACCTGCATCAGCCGGTGCTCCAGGAAGTACACCTGTGGCGGATTGTGCGCGCAGTCGCTCAGTGTGCAAGTGATGCTTAGCCTGTCCTCCACAACTGTAAAAGGAATACTTTGTTCCCCGTTAACGTGTCTCACACCGTCAAACAGTGGAGATTAAACCTCACGAGCGGGTGACTTGAAGGAAAAGATTCTGCACCACGCAACCTCGGGGAGGCTCACGCTGGAGAAGTTTCCCAAGCTCGGCGTGCCCACTTGTATGCACTCCTTGCAGCTTGGAGTTATCTGAGCCTCCGGGTTAACGTGCCTTATGCCTCAGCGGTTTAGGGTTTAGGGCATAGATGACCCTGAACCTACCCAACTCTCCTGGCAGCTCAGGTTGCCGACGTACTGCCACGCGCCCAGCTCCTGAGTGGGATCGCATCTTCCGAAGTTGAGTACAACAGTCGACTTACGAAAGCTTGAGCCTGGCTCAAGACGCCCCAACCCTCAAGACGCCGTTTCGTCAAACGATGGGTACCTCATACTCAGGCCATTAAGTGGTCCGAATGTTGGAGAGCCGGCAAGCCACTCAATCCAAGCACGCAAGACATAGGGGTCAACCAACTTTTGAGAAGGAGCTCGCCAACCCACTGGCCACTGACACATGTGAAGATAGCGCTTTGACGCGGGCCATCCCACTTTCGGCCATCGTCCTGCCTGCGAAGGGTCGTTTCCCTGACCTAGCACTCAAGCGAACGCAACTGCTGCTTCTGCTACTCCTATATTCCCACTGATTCTACGAGTATCTCTACTACTTCTATTTCTACTGCTTTTACTACTGCTACTGCTACTGCGACTGCTACTGCTACTGCCACTGCCACCGCCACTGCCACTACTGCTACTACTGCCACTGCGACTGCTACTGCCACTGCGACTGCTACTGCTACTGCCACTGCTACTGCCACTGCCACTTCTACTGCCACTGCCACTGCACCTGCCACTGCTACTGCTACTAAGCTACTACTGGCTGCTACTGCTGCCACTGCTGCTGCTAGTGCCAATACTACTACTACGACGACTACGACTACTACGACGACGACTACGACACCACGACTACTACGACGATTACGACTACGACTACGACTTCCACTACGACGAACGACGACGACTGCAACGACGACGACTCTCCGTCGCCTCAGACATCTACTGGTGAGTGGTCACGCTTGCTGGCTAGCTGCTAGATTCAGTTCTTCTTGTGGCCAAGACGACACAGAACGGACCCGAGGAAAAATTGCCGGATTCTCAGCCGATCCGAAGCCTTGAGAACATGCGGGTGGTGTAGTTGCAGCTGATGGAAATCTGAGAGGCGGCTGGGAACTCTGTCGGCAAAGGCACCTTGCACGCAACAAGCATGGCCTCCCCAGACCTCCGACATTCCCGAGGTCCGGGAAGAAACACACTCAGACTTTGAAGCAGTGGCCACGCCCACGATACAACAGCAACGAAAAAAACTGCTGCATAGAAGCCCCGAAGCACCTTCTGCATGCCCTGGGCCGCATACGTGCTGGAGGCATTGATGTACTGACATCTGGAGCAGGTACCGGCCTGCATTCAGAGGTGCCTGGGGAACCCTAACCGGAAGGCATCCTATGAGGTCTCTCTTAAAAGGATATGTTTGGATATATTGTAGTAGAGCTATACTAGGGGCCACAAGGGGAGATTCTTGTTATCATTTAGACCTCTTGTTGGCTTGGTTAAGATGTGGGGTGCACTCACCTCTGCAGTGGTTGAGGATCCTTTCTTACCGTCTCGCAGGAGGCCAGCAAACCCTTCTTCGACACCAGGCACCTCTTGCTCCAGGGCCAACATCCCAAGGGTGGCTGAAGGCGAAGAGTTTGACCAGTTAGGGGCTCGGGCATATATATGTGCGTATATATATATATATATATACACACACAAGAAGGGCTTGGACGAGTGCTGTGATTTGGCGGCGCTTTGCTCTTGGAGGGAGAGGGCTCCCCTTGCACAAAGGCGACTGCACTGGCGAGTTTTCAAACAACGAGCAGCCATGCTGGAAGTTCCGGGCGCGAGGGGAGGCAGAGCTGCTAGCCTCCACGCCCGAGATCTGCTGAAGCGCGTCACCTTCACTGTTGGAGAGTAGGACGTCTACTACTGCTACTGCTACTGCTACTGCTACTGCTACTGCTACTGCTACTGCTACTGCTACTGCTACTGCTACTGCTGTTGCTACTGCTGCTGCTACTGCTACTGCCACTGCCACTGCCACTGCCACTACCACTACCACTACCACTACTACTACTACTACTACTACTACTACCACTACTACTACCACCACCACCACCACCACGACTACTACTACTACTACCACCACCACCACGACTACTACTACTACTACTACTACTACTACTACTACTACTACCACTACTACTTTATTGAAACCGGACTTGATGACTACTACTACTACTACTACTACTACTACTACTACTACTACTACTACTACTACTACTACTACTACTACTACTACTACTGGATTGTGCACCATCACCATGTTCCCCATCGCCAAAAGAGACGCAGATGCCATTGCAGCATTTAGAGAAAAAAATGCCATTCTCGAGACTTGCACCACATCAGTCTCCTTTAGTCCGTATATAGTTATACTGAAATACTGTATACTGCTGCAACATACCCAAAAACTCTGCTGTACTTTCTAAAGACCCTGTCTTCCAAGAAAGCCCGGTAAAGAACCGACGAAAGCCCAGCGGCAAGCGTTGTACTGGTCCTCAAAAAGACAGCGAGGCACCTGGCGGCAGGGTTGCCCAGAGAGCCCAATATCCCTTGATTAAGGATTATAGTTTAAATAATCATAATATGAAACCCCTACTGATTCAAGGTATATTCCTTAATTAAGCAGTATTGTGCTCTCTGGCTGCTTCTGGTTCAGGGTTTAGGGCTTCTGCAGGCGCTGTAGAGGGAAGCGGAGAACTTCTGGGGGGTGCTATGCGGTTGAAGAGCTGGGAAGCAGAAAACTTTCTTGTGGGATTACCCAGAAACTCCAACATCCCTTAATTAAGGAATATACCTTAAATTATAGTAGGATCCCTACTATGGTTTGAGATATATTCCTTAATAAAGGGATATTGGAGTCTCTGGGTAAACAGCTCTGGCAAGAGTTGACGAAGCGCAAGCTCGTCACTGAAGCCGAGCAAAACTTCAATATTAGCTACGGCACATCGGAAAGTGTCAGGCTGAGGAAGCTCCGGCGCCGAATCTCCTTCCAGCACTTCTCCGGGTCGGCGATGCGGCAGAAGTCCCCTTGGGGTGGGATGCCATACAGCTCGTTGACCATCTGCACGGCGAGCTGTTGGACGAACTCACAGCGCTCGAAGAGAGTGCCTTAACGGACACATCGCGTGATCACGATGAGATGGTTCATGCACAGCGACATGCCAAACACTCATCTCAGGCACAGGTCTCCGACGTTGCGCAGAACTGGTAAAAGGCGCAGCTGGCGTTGGCATGACAGCCCGACGCGCAGCTCGAGAGGGTGGTGTCAAAGGACTGCGAGAGGACCGCTGTGTCCTCACAACCAAATTTTGCAATTCAATTCTGGATCCTCATATATGTGCTATGAGTTCCAGATTGCTGCATGATTCCTGCTGCAGAGCCAAATCACGCACTGAAAGCCGTCCGTGGCTTGCGCACTTTCAGTCGAAGTGCGTTCATGTAAGGCCTCAGAAGGGATTCTTCACATTCCAAGTAGGAGTCATATTTTGGGTCTGACTGCGAAAGATCTTGAAAGCAGCATGCCAACAAGACTGCAGGAGCAACCGAGGGCAACTCAGTCAACTATCGTCACCGACCGGATTCCCTAAACCGACGGTTCAGGGTGCTGGGAGTCCTCGCAGGTGTACGGACCCGAGAAGATCTGCTGATCTTCGACCGTGCCGATGTTGTAGCTGCTGCTGCGGGGCACCTCTGCATGTAAGCCCAGAAGCAATCGCACTGTTTATGGCGACATCAAGAGACAAATGCTGTGGTGCGTTGATAATACCACACTGGACTTTGCAGCAACTGCGTTGTTTGAGCGGCTGCGTGTGGAGGGCCTGGACCGAGGGTATGCAACTGCTGGCTGCAGCAACTACTCCCTTGCCGCAATGCCCGCCCCAAAAAAGAGAAGCACTTGTGTGTCCATACACCCATCAGAAGAAGGAAGAAGAGCTACGGCAGCTAAATGCCCACGGAATCCTGAAACCAACGCTACCCGCGGAGCCGACAATATCAGCCGCCAACTGGTTTTTCTGTGCTTGTGGATATGCTGGTGATTGGAAATCGTACTACAAACTTAGGCGGGCGGGCAAAGTCAGCTGTCCCAAGCCAAGCATAGTAAAACTTACTTCTGTCTAACCATCACCCCATCGGGTTCGGTGCTAAAAACATCTCGAACCCTAACCCTAAACCATAACACCCGAAACCTGCGGGCCGCGCCTTCAGATCAGAGGACTGCAGCACAGGCGACGCTTGAGCGTGCGCTTCCCCGAAGCACTCGCACGGGTGCAGGGAGAAGTGCTCGGGGTCCTCGCGGGGCGAGGGGCATAATTAATGAACCATGACGGTTACACGTCCTTCAGGTTCCCGAGAAAACTCTTCCAAACTCCGCTTTCTATGAGATCTCCATGCTTACCTTGTTCCACGTTCAAGGCAAAATTACTAGTATTAATAATATTAATAGTATTAATCCAAGCTCTGTCACGGGTCCTCCAAGGTGCCGAAGACGAAACTCGACGTTGCCGTCAGCGTGCAGGAGCGGACCGAAGGTTTCAGCGCCGCCGGCTGCGAGGCCTGGCAGTGCGGGGGAAGGCGGGGGGGGGGGGGGGTCTGAATCTTTAAGTAGAGTTAGGGTTTAGGGTGTCCACTTTTAAAGTCACTGCACAATGATACTATACCCTCAAACCGTAGTTATTGCAGGCAGTAGGCCTTAAACCCTGAACCCTTAAACCCTAAACCCCGAACCCCAAACCCCTACAGATCCCTTTAAAGGAACCCTTTTGATCCCTTTGGGATCTATAGGGTTCCTGTTAAGGCCTCCATAGGGTTTAGGGATTAGGGTTTAGGGTAGTTATAAGTAGGGTTATAAGTAGGGTTATGATACTTATAACCCATATTGGAGGACGTATAACTCCACTTACGACTACCCATGAATCCTTAAGTGGAGCGGCCTCCGGCTTCTGCAAAACAGCGCTGTCGTTCAGCTCTGCGGGGAGGAACTCCAGCTCAAACTCCTGCAGGGAGTTTTGTTGCTGAGGGTATATACGATATAGGATTTAGGGCACAAGGTTCATGTTGAACATTGGCGTGTTGTAGTTGAGAGCCCCTGGCCAATCCTTATGCATCCTGGGGCCCCTATATAGGGACCCCAAAAAGCACATAAGCATAAGCATTTTATGGGGATATCCCTACCTTATTGGGCTTCATTATAAGGGGATTTATATGGGACAAGCCCTAAGCATGAAATCCTCGTAGCCATTCTCGAAGGCATTGGCCACGACATCGCGGCCAGTGCACGCCACGGCGTTGCCGTAATACTCCGGAGCTTCCATGCTTCCCTTCTTGAAGTCCTGCTGCTGCTGTTGCTGCCGGGGCTGTGGTAACAATCATCATTGTGCTCTGTTCATGTGGCAGGAGTAACAAACACACGGCGGGGGTGGTGGTGGGGCTAATGCCATAGCAGCTTCAGTTTACAACTGCGCGCACCTATTTACTGCTCCTGTTCTTCCCAGAACGCAGCCGATGCCTGTGTGCTTATTCATGCTGATTGCCTCGACACTACGGCACTAGGGCGGAGGGCTGGGGGTACTGCTTCGAGCTTGCACTGCTCTTAATACTGCTCTTGCACCTAATTGTCCATTTTCCTGTTGGCTCTTGCAACTTGGAGGTTCATGGATAGTTAAAAGTAGGGTTATAAGTAGGGTAACCATACTTATAACCCATATCAGGGGACTTATAAGCCCATTTATAACTGCCCATGAACCTCCAAGTAGGCCCTAAACCCTATACCCTTATAGAATCCCTAAAGATCCCTTTAAAAGCATCCTTAAAGGATCCCTTATAACTACCCATGAACTTGGAGTTGGGCTCATGAAGCCTCCGAGGATAGAAGGCCAAGGGTTCGTTGGATAGGGCTTGGGAGGTGAAGGCTTACTGGGCATCCTAGTTATAGTAACCCTATGCTGACTTAAAGGCCCCGATATTAGAGAACCCTACTATAGATCCCCTTTACAAAGCTCGCGGCTTGGAAAAGAAGCCCAACTGCCTGCATCACCCCAAGCCCTGTCTCATCAGGTTGAATATCTCTCTATTCACCCCTTCAGAAACCCTAAAGGGAGCTCCAGAAAGTTGGAATATGGATTAATGGCAGGATCCCCTATAATTTACCGTAAAGGGGTTACGATAATGAGATTCCAACTTTCTGGCTTCTACTGTAAACCCTATACCCTGAATCCCGGAACCCCCTGTCCGAGGCGTTCGTGTGCACCAGAAGCCAGGAGGCGTTCTCACATGCCTCCAAGAACCCACCGGCCACTTTGAGGTCCCTTTAAAGGGCTCTATAGGGATCCTATAAGGGTATAGCATTTAGGGCCTACTTGGAGGTCTAAATGGGCTTATAAGTCCCCTAATATGGGTTATAAGTATGGTTTCTTCACTTATAACCCTACTTATAACTACCCATGAACCTCCAAGCACTCAAGCTCGATTTGCAAGGGTCCACTTTGGGCGAAGCCCAGTTCCCTCCCGATGCCCTCAGATCGAATCCTGCGGAAGCTGCATGTGCGCGAACTCCCGGAGGACAAAATGGAATTGCAGATCGGGCGTGGTTCCCGCGTGGGCATAGGACACCTGGCTTGGCAGCTGAAGCTTCTGCGACAGAAAGGACTTGGAACGAGGCTGAGGCATAATTGCTGTTTAGTTTACGACTACACAGGGACAACAGTACATGTTCGGCCAGCGAAGTCCCTCCAAGGACCAGGTGGACCTACAACAGCCATCCCACCCGGCCCTGTGCTGGACACGAGCTAAGGTGCAGGCAGGGTTCAGAGTTTTTAGGGTTTGGGGTTTAGGGCTTTAGGTTTTCCGGCCCAACTCTGCACGTTGGATGCATGAGTGGAGCCCTGCAAAAATGGGCTTATGCTTAAAAGCGGGACTTGGAACTACAGCTCGAGGGGATTGGGCTGTAGGGATTCTGGTACTTGAACGGCTTCGGTTTGCGTAGGGCAGGATTTGGGAAGTGATCAACCTAATGGCTTGTTCAGGGCCTCTGAGTCTGCACAACTCCATCCACTTAGTCCTGTGCCGCTAAGATCGAACGACTGACCCTGCCCGCATTGACTAGAGGGGTATTCTTTTTTGGAAAAGTTGGGCTGATTACTACAGGACGGATGAGAACCTCGTTCTGCACATGGTCGGAGCCGTGAGGATCCTCAATCAGCTATGATAACAGACACGATATATTAATAGTAGTTATCATGGTAAGAATGAAACTAAGAAGAGTAATAATGCATGGTATTCGCAGACCTGCTCCTTGAAGATGTTTGACGGGGAATAGTCTCCCTGCACGTACCTTGGACAGGCACATGAACTTCCCCAAACGCCTCTCGCGCTCAGCACCTAGCTTTACAAATGCAACGTCTCCAATCCACGCAGATCTTTGCAGAGCGCTGTCTGTACGGGCTACTGTCAAACAGCTTCAACATTGATAGCAAAAAGCTTCTGAATCCACGACAGCCGATACAAAGATTCTTGCAAAGGGGAGTAAGCTTGCTGCCTGCTACCAAAGACGCTTGGCTTGCGCAACCTCCCCTCGGAGTGCGTCTGGCTGATGGAACTTTGCTCAATTTCTAGAGGCTCCAATCTGAACCCTACCGGCAAAAACCCAACGCCCGTTTCTCTGTTTGCCACGGCACCAAGCACCCTTGGCCGTGAGGTTTAGGTCCGTTTCCTCCTGCAGGCAATTTGGACTTCGCGATTGCGGTCCCCTCTCATGCGTGTTCTGGTATTTGCATGGCATGGCATTCCGCAAAGAGGAAGCCGGTACAATCAGGACGTGAAACAACCCCAAAGACGCACAGTGATGAAACGAAACGACAATGATACAGCATGTGACCTGTTTGCTGAGCCTCACCCGAAATCCCTTCCCACCCGACATCCTACACCTCCTAGAACCCTCAACCCCCTGAGAAAACAACAAACAACCTAAACCCTAAACCTCCCTGGACCTCAGCTGCTTCAGAGATTTACCGCCCCTGTGGCAACCCGAGTCCTCGGAGCAGTTGTCCAGACGGACGAGCACCTGCAAGCGAATCTCGCTTCGGTAGAGAGGAGTTGATCATTTTTAGGGGTGTTATTGTTGTATTTGTTAGGGTTCAGGATTCAGGGTTTAAGATGAAGAATCTGAACAGTTCTGCACACAAAGTACGACATCACACCGCCGAACACCTCCTGATTCGGCCACAGAGTATCCATGAGTATCCTAAACAGCCTTGAAAAGGTAAGAGGTGTCATAAACTGTGGCAGTAGCAAAGAATGGGGCAGCCCCAAGTCCAGAAAAGAACGCTAGGGTTTAGGGTTTAGGGTTTAGGGTTTAAGGTTTTAGCAAGAACGAATTGACAGTTCGGCATGTTGCAAAGGTTTTGCAGCAAGCAAACCCCAACTGCAGCGGCATGTAACACCTGACATATCCTGAGATTGCTTACAACGATCCCCTCCGAAACAGTGCTGCATGGTACATCGCCAACCATGATACCTCAGGCATGCTGGCATAACTTGCTGGTATCGTAGGGGCCTTAATAATCAGAATAGGGTCTCGGGATATATTATACTGTAGGGAACCCCAACATAGTATCGGGAGTTTTTGGAGCCCCCACAGTATCCTCAACCCTAAACCCTAAACCCTAAAACCCTAAACCCTAAGCCAATCCTCCCTCGGCGGAAGCCTGGCCAACAAAGGCTGCTGGCTCGCCATCACTGACTATGGCGTGGCATGCACCGCTGCTGTCCTGATCGACAGAGGGGAGTTCAGGGTTTAGGGTTTTAGAGTTTAGGGTTTAGGGTTTTGGGCAGCAACAGCAGGGGTGCCAGTGGCGGCGGCTGCAGTATTGTCGTACTCGCAACTGTCGTCGTCGTCTCCGCCGATATGTTTAATAATCTTTACAGGAACCCTTATAGATCCCTTTTTGTACTTCTTCAAACGATTCTTGTGGCTGCAGTCGTGCGCATGGTACGCCATGGCTCTGGCTGCCGTCGTGGTTACAACTCTTGTCGGCACCGACTCTGCGGTGCAGGAGCACACATGGGAATATACCATAATTCCCATACATTCCTTATTATGGGTAATGCAGGATTTATATCATCAACCGTAGTACTAGCAGAACAAGATCAAGTTAGGAGGAGAACTAGTAGAGTATTAGTCGTCGTCGTGGTGGTAGTAGTGGTAGGGGTCGCAGTGGTGGCGGTGGTGTAGCTTCAGTAGTAGTAGTAGTAGTAGTAGTAGTAGTAGTAGTAGGAGTAGCGGCAGCAGCAGTAGCCGTAGCCGTAGCCGTAGCCGTCGCCGTAGCCGTAGCCGTCGCCGTAGCCGTAGCCGTAGCCGTAGCCGTAGCCGTAGCCGTAGCCGTAGCCGTAGCAGTAGCAGTAGCAGTAGCAGTAGCAGTAGCAGTAGCAGTAGCAGTAGCAGTAGCAGTAGCAGTAGCAGTAGCAGTAGCAGTAGCAGTAGCAGTAGCAGTAGCAGTAGCAGTAGCAGTAGCAGTAGTAGCAGCAGCAGCAGCAGCAGCAGCAGCAGGAGCAGTAGCAGTAGCAGTAGCAGTAGCAGTAGCAGTAGCAGTAGCAGTAGCAGTAGCAGTAGCAGTAGCAGTAGCAGTAGCAGTAGCAGTAGCAGTAGCAGTCGTCGTCGTCGAAGTAGTCGTAGTCGTAGTCGAAGTCGTAGTCGTCGTCGTTGTAGTAGTAGTAGTAGTAGCAGTAGCAGTAGCAGTAGCAGTAGCAGTAGCAGTAGCAGCAGCAGCAGCAGCAGCAGCAGCAGTAGCAGTAGCAGTAGAGTAACAGTAGCAGTAGCAGTAGCAGTAGCAGTAGCAGTAGCAGTAGCAGTAGCAGTAGCAGTAGCAGTAGCAGTAGCAGTAGCAGTAGCGGTAGCAGCAGCAGCAGCAGCAGCAGGAGCAGGAGCAGGAGCAGTAGCAGTAGCAGTAGCAGTAGCAGTAGCAGTAGCAGTAGCAGTAGCAGTAGCAGTAGCAGTAGCAGTAGCAGTAGCAGTAGCAGTAGCAGTAGAAGTAGAAGTAGCAGTAGCAGTAGCAGTAGCAGTAGCAGGAGCAGGAGCAGGAGCAGGAGCAGGAGCAGGAGCAGGAGCAGGAGCAGGAGCAGGAGCAGTAGTAGTCGTCGTCGTCGAAGTAGTCGTAGTCGTTAGTCGAAGTCGTAGTCGTCGTCGTAGTAGTAGTAGTAGTTGTTGTTGTAGCAGCAGCAGCAGCAGCACAAGCAGCAGCAGCGGCAGAAGGAGGATATCGAGCAGTAACCGGGTTCAGCAACAACAGCTGCAGATGTAGTTACTCAGCAATCCCCACAAGCTGATCACACACCGCATGCACAACCCGATCCGATAACAAAAAACGCGTAAAGTCATCTTCAGTCCGCCTGTAAACATCACAACGACAGACTCCGCAGCATGGCACTGCAGGCCTATGCAATAACTACTAGCACCGACAACGCGAAGGCCGCAACTGCAGTAGCACCAACACCAACCACCACCCCAAACCCCAAACCCCTTATCGTCCCCTTCTAGATCCCTTCGAGTAATCTTTATAGGAACCCTTCTAGATCCCTTCTAGTAATCTTTATAGGAACCCTTCTAGATCCCTTCTAGTAATCTTTATACGAACCCTTATCCTTATAGCTCCCTTTTAGTAATCTTTATAGGAACCCTTATCCTTACAGATCCCTTTTAGTAATCTTTATAGGAACCCTTAAAGGGAACCACCACCGGTTCGCGAGTACCGTCTCCTCCTGGACCGCTGCACAGTCCACCCTCTCGCGGCAGATGTGGAAACCTGGAGGCTCTTGGGAACTACGGTTGATGATATAAACCCTGGGGTTCCTTTAAAGGGTTTAGGGTTTACGGCTTAGGGTTTAGGGATCTGCAACTTCGTTCAACAACTGTCAAGGAAGAAGGGTTGAGGGCTTAGGGTCTTACAGTTGTGACGTCAGTGCATCCCACCCCCAACTTACGCATATGCCTTGTCGATGGCATGACTTAGTAATACATTTTGATGCAGAAGCCCTCGCACTGTCACATGACTTGTGGAATTATTTTAAACCAATTTTTATACGGTACAGAGCATCTGTAACACCTGCCCTACCTCGAAGTTCTCTTGTTTCATGGATTCCCCGCCAGCCCTGCTACGAAGATCATCGGGCCTTGAATGGATTCATGTGGAGCGTCCCTTTTACCAGAATGCACATCAGTATCCTGCCCACACCAGATTTGACCTGTCCTGTCAAGCTCCCTAAACCCTAAACCCCTAAACCCTAAACCCCTAAACCCTAAACCCTAAACCCAAGCTCCAGCCCGGAACTCATCGCAAGCCGCAGGAGACGTCCAAAGTGCCCAAAGGCCCTCCACTTATAAGGGGTCCTTTAAGGGTCCCTTTAAAGGGATCTATAAGGATTCTTTACGGGTAACTTGGAGGTTGTAAGGGTACCTTTGAGGGCCCCTTTAAGGGGATCTATAGGGATTCTAAAAGGGTATAGGATTTAGGCTCTACTTGGAGGTTCATGAGTAGTTGTAAGTAGGGTTATAAGGGGTTTAGGGTTCCTTTTAAGGGTTCTATAGGGTTTAGGGATTAGGGTTTAGGGTAGATATAAGTGGGGTTGTAAGTAGGGTAACTATACTTATAACCCATCTTAGGGGACTCATGTCTCCACTTGGGTGGTTGTCAAAATTATGGTCCCTTTTTGGGTCCCTATTATAATACGGCACCTATTACTTAAGGTACCGAAAAAGGGACCATAATTTTGACAACCACCCACTTATAACTACCCTAAACCCTACACCCTAAATCCCTACAGAACCCTTTATAGGAACCCTTCAAGGAACCTTTATAACCCGACTTATAACTACCCATGAACCTCCAAGAAGCAGCCTTAAAGCTTCCCCCGAGGACGCGGCACTCACTTATGGAAGGCAGCGTCTTCCAGCGGAACAATCCTACCAATCGATCGCAGAGACGGGCTTGGGTTTGGGGTTTAGGTTTTAGGGTTTTAGGGTTTTGGGGTTTAGGGTTTTAGGGTTCAGGGTTTCGGTCCCACTGCCCAGTGTAGACGTTTGGGTCCTGAGACGTTGATGGGGACCCAGCAAGTGTCGTCCACCACGTCCAAAGTGAGCTGCGCTACTGGCAGGACCTCGGAGGAATCACAAGCCCCCCACACCAAGATCCTCCTAAAAAGAACGGGACTACTGTCAGGGCTTCGTTCGCCGTAAGTTACTGCATTGCATGGCTGATGCCCTCCTTCTTGTTTCCTTGACGCTCCAACACAGAAACCATGCCAAATCCTGCAACACCCCGGACAACCACAACACCCAATTCCAAATCCCGCAAGCATCCAAGCTTAGAAAGACAGGTTCCCAGTACCTGCGTAAAGTTGGGCACCCCTAGGGACCCACTTTTCCCAGGCCTTGTCGTACAACTGGCCGCCGAGTGCGACGCTGCAGTTGATCTGCACCATGGGAAAAGAAGCAAGAGCAGGAGCCAACAGTGGTGAATCTGCTCCAAAAACCGATAATCAGCACATCTCCAAATCCCCAACATCGGAAAACACTGCACCCTTTCCAGCAAATCAACCCCCACGCACCCGACCTGTATTCGTCCGCGGCCCTCGGCAGAAAGATCCAAGCCGGGGCTGCCTGGCACTCCGCCGCGGACAGCGGACGCTGCGACTTGGGGCTCTATCTTCTGCTTTGAGGTTTAATATAATATAATATAATATAGTATAACCTCATATAACATAATATAGTTTACTATAATATATATATATATATATGTATATGAGGGTTTAGAGGGCTTCTGGCTTTCACTTTTGAGGCCTTGGGTTTGGGCTTTGGGTTTAGGGTTTGAGGGCTTTGCTTCTGGGGACTCGGGATTTGACTTTGGGGTTCAGGATTTGGGGGAAGATCGACGGGTGGACTCGGGGGCCGCCTTCCAAGTAGTGCCCCTTTTGGCTTCAGGGAGTTTCCGAAAATAGGGGACCCCAATATAGTACTCCAAATAGTAGGATCCTTATTTTTAAGGATGCCCAAGCAAGGTACCCCTAATTTTCAGAAACTCCCAAACGCTTTGGGGTGTAGGCGATTAGCACCCACATCGCTCCAAGTTTGTATCATGCGTTGTATATTGTATACTCGATATACAGTGCATTTTTGGTGTGTATTATTATGTGCAATGTATTGTGCATCATACATTATCCTGATTGGATCTATAGACAGTCTATGACGGTTGGCAAAAACTGCAAAAAAACTTCTATATCTTGGCCTTGGTCATTCGGGCTCAAGGTTCACAGTTAAAAAACGACATAGTGTGACATAGTGACAGAGCACCTGCAGCTGAATTGGAATCGAAGCACCCTACAACTTGAACGGACAACAGCGCCTGAACAAAGGTGCTGAGCGAACACGAAACGCCTGTAAACTCGCAGTCTCTGTCCTGCAAACAACAGCGTGTACCCTCCCTGGCACGAGACCCAGCCCATGTGGCACCAGAGGCGAGTCCAGACGAAGGGTCCAAGTTAAAGGCCACCTTGCCAGCGGAATCGAGGTTCAAAACCCTAAACCCTAATCCCTAAACCCTAACCCTAAACCTTAATCCCTAATCCCCACAAACCCTAAACCGCAAACCCTAAACCCTTAAAACGGCTTCGGGCTCCGGGCTTCGGACAATCTTTTTCAGATCCCGGGGTCGTTTTCAGGGATTTTATAGCTTCAGCTATCATTGGTTTGACAGGGGAACCCTATCTTTTCGGGTTAAGGGTTAAGGGTTTAGGGTTTAGGGGTTTAGGGTTTCGGGTTTCGGGATTAGGGTTCAGGGTGATCCCTGATGTGGTAACTTAAGAGAAGTTCCTGAATAAGAACCCAGGATTTCAACTTCCAGTTTTCGGTTGATCACGGTTGCCTCACATCCGCCATGCCAACCAACGAAGCGGCAGCGGGACTGGACGTTCCCATTACTTCAGAGTCTTCGTAAAGGTGTCTGCGACGAGGGAATGGGGTCATCTGTCTTGGCAGGATGAGGTACACCCAAAAAGATGTCGAACTCAATTGCTGCAGAATCAAGACCCGCCCTACGACCATCTTAGAAGAAGCTGGGAACTCAGACGTACAAGGCACCAGTGTTCCTAGCTGATGCACTCCAGAACCCACCATAATCAAGTTTCCCAAACTGTGAGAAAGGGCTCACCCTAACAGCCTTCCTCTCTCAGGCCCGCCTTGCCCTCGCGGGTGATGTCACCGGTGCTCCGGGACCAAGCATAGGTGGCATTGCTCCCGTCGCGGCACTGTACATCCAGAATCTGCACAGGAAACTACGAGCACAACTTCTCGGACCCAACACTTACGGACTCTGCTAGGATCTCTCCTGTGCCCCTGCCAGCATGCCCGCCGAACCGGGAGAAGCATGAAAGTGCGGCTGCCCGGGCCTCCGGGGCTACGGCAGGAGTGACGGCGAAGCGTGCACCCGAGGAGATGTTCTCCAGGATGGGATACTCCAGGGACGCGTCCTCGGGAGCCTCTGCACCAAAACGGGTGCACCGGAACATGTCAACTGCAGAATGGCTGTGAGGCTTCTGGTGCACCATGGCGTCACCTCTTCTCATGGCCAAAGCTTTGCCCAATTTTTTGGGGGTATAGTTTTGCCGCTATGACCTTACCACATACCCCCCGGCATGGGAGTCTCCGAAAGTATATAAGGACCCCAAATCAAGGTACCCTAAACCCTAAACCCCAAACACTCATAGAGCCCTTAAAAAGAACCCTTATAGTAACCCTTTGAAGGAACCCACCCCTAATTATTGGAAATTCCCGACGTGCCGCCAGAACCCAGGCGCACCTCGGACCAGCTGAAGCCCGGGATGAACTCCTGGAGAGGCTACCAGGAAAAACAATAACACCGCCCTCGTCATGCTTTTTTAAGATTTAGGGTGTTGAGGTATAGGGTTCTATGGTTTAGGGTTTATGGTTTTAAGGTTTAGGGTTTTCGGCTTTAGGGTTATCGGGTTTAGGGTTTAGGGTTTTAGGGTTTAGGGCTTAGGGTTTAAGGTTTATTGAGCTAGCTTCGTGTGTGGGGTCCGTTTTTGGATTCTTTAAACTAGTGAATCTTTTTGGATTTTTCTGATTTTTTGTGGAATTATTTTGGAATTTTTTGGAGTTTTATTTGGGTTTGCGAATGTTTTGAGTTTTCCGACATATGTCGTTTCAATTACTTCAAATTACTTAAACTACTTGAATTGAGTGAATTACTTGAATTACTTGAATTATCTGAATTAATTGAATTAACTGAATAGATTGAATTAATTGGTTGAATTAGTTGAATTAATTGAACTAACGGAACTGATTGAATTAATTGAATGAACTGAATAAATTGAATGAATTGGAATAATTGAACTAGTTGAATTAGTTGAATTACTTGAATTACTCGAATTAACTGACTGAAATGAACTAACTGAGTTAATTGACTTAACTGAATTAACTGAATTAATGGAATTAATTGAACTAATTGAATTAATTGAATTAAGTGAAATACGTGAATTAAGTGAATTAAGTGAATTAGGTGGAATAAGTCATTTAATTAATTGAATTCCTTGCACTAATTGCATAAATTCGTGCACATACACACTAAATCCGCGCAAATACATACTAAATCCGTGCAACTACACACTATATCCGTGCGAGTACAAACTCAACTGGTGCAAATACTTGCTAAATCCGTGCCAATACAGACTAAATCCGTGCAAATACATTCTACATCCGTGCGTTTCAGCGAGTTTCAAGGAGTTTTTGCAAGTTTCAGCGACATTAAGCGAGTTTCAACGAGTTTCGGCGGGAATTGAACAACCAAAAGCCCTTAAAAACAAAATGTGCCCGGCTGCTTCTGGCGAGCTTCAGCGAGTGTCGTTGAGTTTCCGTGAAATTTGGCGAGTGTTAGCAGTCTTAATAATTCCAGTTTCCATTCCTCTCTGCGATACAGGAACAGTGTTTCTCACTGCAATTCCTCTCACGCTTTACGACACTGGAGCAGTCTTGGTGCTTGCAGTTTCACTCCCTGTCCGCAATACTGGAATTGCAAGCTCTCTCTCTCTCTCTCTCTCTCTCCTGGAACACTGAAGCAGTCTTAGTATTTGTAGTTTCTCTATCACTCCCTCTGCTATGTAACACAAACCACCAAGTAAACCACCCCTCACCGAGCTCGCCATGGCCATTGATGCCCGTGACGTTAACCATGAACAAGTCGTGCATATGCGGACTGCCAAACACGACGACCGTAGGAGCTTCATCATGGCAATGGGTTTGGACCAAATTGGGATCCGTCGCATCGACATCGTCAATGACCTTCAAATGTTGATACACCTGCAGCATCCTGCTTGTGAAAATGGCTTGCGCGCGTCCAGGTTCACCCGATGCAGGAAAACAAAAATCTGTCACATAGATGCGGGTATTCACCAACGAGGTCAATGGCTGAGGCAAGCGTGCAGTCTCCAGCACGTGAAACTTCATGCATAGCAGTGCTTTCGATTGCCCTTTGAAGCACCCATCGCAAGTCCACGTGGGTAGAGGGCGCCGGCCAGACCATTCCGGAGCACGATAATATGTGCATAACTCTGGAACTATCTGATGGATGGCCACATAGCTGACAGACCTGCTTGTCGACCTTGGGGTATCCAATCATTTTCAAAGGTCGGGGTGCATTGGGGACTTGGCTACCTTTCCAGCAGCTGGCACAATAAAAAGCTCCATCCGTAGCATTGGCGCACAGCGCACACACCTCATTGTGACCTCCGTGACATTGGCAACACAATGCTGCACCATGCTATGCTGCCGGCGACGTCTTTGTCGCAGAAAGACCACCAACGCCGCCACCAAAGGTAAAATCAAGCGTCTTGATAACCACAGGCACGTCATGACACAGTCGAAATGCAAAAAAGAGACAAAATTGGTCTTGAACACGAGACAGGCTACAGCATGAATCAAGAAAATCAATCCTGTCTTTGGCCGTCCCATCTGAGGCATATCTGAGGCCTGCACCCAGCTTTGTGGGATCGGCCCACGAACAACGGCCGACAAAGCAAAAAAAGCTGCGCGGGACGTGAACGTCAACGTTGTGTGTGTGTGTGTGTGCATACGCAGAGCGTCTTCAAAAACCCCCCCAGACCGCCGTGGGTTTTACCTTTGCATCCAGTCGCATATCATATCTCATAATAGCACCAGAATAGAAACGACAATATGTTTCAACTACAAGATAAACGAGAAAGCAAAGGCGCTGAACAGCAGCCTTAGCAGCCTCCAAGCACTTAACGCGTTGAACTCACCTTTTTGCAGCTACTCAAAACTTGTCATCTCGAGGCCTTCTGCTCAAGTTGTTTTCTGGTTTGTCCCTGTCAGGTCCAACTTGAAAATCGAAAACATTATGACAAAGCTTCGGGTTTCTTTTCGTAGAAGCGTAGACAAAGAAAACGGTACAACGTGTGCGAAACCGACCCTAGGTGACTTGAAGCACAGCGTCTGGCCAGCTTGCAAGCCCTCTTCTGGCAGCTGCGTTGCCCAGGCAGGGTCTCACTTGGCCTCATCCTCCGCCGCAACCTCTGACAAAGGGAATAAGAACCGAAGCAAACGGCCCAACAACACCTAGCAGGCCTGCTTGCGCTTCTTGCTCTTGTTGGAGTTGACCTCCACGGCCACGGTAAAAGAGAAAGAGACGACACTCAAGCCAAGGATCCCAGGTAACTGCGCCTGTCTTGAGAGGGACGACCAATGTGCGTTGCACAGCTGGTCGCCCATCACGAGGTCGTTTTTCGACCTGAACAGTAGGAGTTCCTTACACGTACTCGCCTTACTCTTTGTATCGCGCCATAAGCTTAGACCCATGCGTCGTCTTCCAGCCCTTCTCGGCAGCCTTCTCGATGTGCGCCAGGCTTTGCACCCGCCCCAGAGCGGGACGGCCGCACATGCAGCAGACGACCTCAATACGTCCAACATCCGAAGGCCTTGTGAGCAGTGCAATAGCAGGCCTTCGGACTGATTCAAAGTACAATGTTTAAAACACAACAGCGCATCAAATCGACCAAGGCTCGGACAGGATCCAACGTCTTGGACCTCAAGAAATATCAGACAAGGAAAGACAATGACTCACGACAATGACTCACTACAACATCAAAACATCCGAGGCCTGAGCTCGGCCTCAGTCTTAGCATGAACAAACAGCCGATCCTAAACACGCACACGCACACACACCACACACAATCCTGCATTTACTGACACCCACCTTCTTGCTCTTGAAGCACCAGTGACGGGTCTTCGACCGTTTCGTCATGTAGTGCCTACAGCTACAACACAAAACAAAGGCAATGTGTTTCTCAAACACAGTATACCAAAGCAGACGCTTCTTGCATATGGAGCATAACTTGGCGTCCGCGTCACCCTTGAACATCTTCTTTGGCCTGACAACGCAAACAAACCAAATAACAGGACAACTCCCAAGCCAAGCCAAACAAAAGACTGAGCATCAAACGCACCCATGGCCACAAAGAGTGAAAAAGGCAGTTGGGTGTCGGCGAGGATGGAACCAGAGCGCTGTCAGGACAGCACATACGAGCTAGACACTTGCAGCCGCTACATCGAAAAAACCGACCAACACGCCTCAGCCATCAAATGTCAAGCAACGAGCACCACTCTCAATGTACTACTACACCTACTACTGCTACCACTACTACTACGACGACGACTACTACTACTGCTACTACTACCTGCTTCTACGCCCTTCCTCCCCTTTCCCTCCAATAAATCCGTGCAAATACACACTACATCCGTGCAAATACAGACGAAATCCGTGCAAATGCACTCCAAATCCGTGCAAATACACACTACGTCCATGCAAATTTGCACTAAATCCGCGCAAATGCACACACTAAATCCGTGTAAATACGCATTAAATCGTTGCAAACGTACACTAAATCCATGCAGATACACACCAAATTCGTGCAAATACACACTAAATTCGTCTAAATACACACGACCTGCGAGCAAATACACACTAAATCCGTGCAAATACATACCAAATCCGTGCCAATACTCACTGGTTTCGTTGTGATGCAATGGCGGCTTTGAAATGTTTGGCTCAATTTACTTACACTGGATTGTGATTTGGCGGTGGCGGTGGAATGTTTGGTTTAATTTACTTAAACTCGATTGTCAATATCAATATCTTGTGCACGCGGCTATGTATATCCAAATATATGATTGTAAGTGTATTTGATTCGGCTTGACAAGAATGTAAAGGAATACCACGCATGGTGCAATACGCAAGCTCAATTTATGGGGTCTTGAGGGTTTGGGGTTTAGGGTTTAACGTTTAGGGTTTTAGGGTTTAGGGGAATCTGCTTCGGCCCGAATGTTGCGGCATACCCAGCCTGTAGCGTCGAGACCTGCAGCGACACGCCGACACGGCCCTGAAGCACTGGCACCTCGCAGGAACTGCGAAGCTTCGGTGCTTTTGGACGGGAGGTACGTATGTGGGTGGTTGTCAATATTAGGATCCCTTCTTGGGTCCTTATCATAATACGGCACCTATAGTAGTTAGGGTACCCAAAAAGGAAGCTTAATTTTGCCAACCACCCATGTAGCATACCGGACGTTCCCAGACCTTCCAATAACCGTTAATGAGGGAATGTACGTTAAATTGCAGTGGGATCCCAAGTATGATTTAAGGTATATTGCTAAATTGAAAGATATGGGATGTCCGTGCTCGCACCACCAAAAAGTATGCACGAGGGTTAGAGACTGGATATTGTCCCCACTGTACAACAGTTGGGTCATATCCAGTTATAGTTTAACTAGATACAGGCCCTTGTTATGACCCTTCATATGGTCTGCTACAGGGGGGGAGTGCCCAGGTCAAAACAACGAACTCACTGCTTTGGAGGGTACTATCCTCTGGCTGAGCCAGGCAATATAATATGAAACAATAGACTATGCACGAAAAACCATAACCTACTACAACAGACTATACTGTAATGTGCGTAGAATACACCATAGCATAAGATAATGTACTCTAAGTCGGAATTCACTTTGTGCTTTTGGCAAAGTCTCACCCGATTTGGCTGCACGAACAGGTTTTAGTGGAAAGACGATGCCTGATCTGCTTCGGGTTTTGGGGGTGCTCTTGAGACACCGAACAAGCAACATGCAGAGAGCTAGGTTTGGTTCAGCTGGTCGCAGCAACTTGTTTGTTTTGGGGAGGGCTTTGCCGAGTCACAGTGCTGCGAGGCTGTGGTGCTTGTTGTCGTGTCGTTGCATGCTCTCTTGTTGCGAACATTTGCTGCAAAAGGTCAGCACGCCTGACATCAGAGAGCACAAAGACCCCAAGGCGTTCTGTGCCCGCCGTCCCTGAACCAGCCAGTCCGACATGGCAAAAGAAACTTACGGCTTCCTACCTCCGACAGGCATAAAATCCTAAGCCGGCCGAAACCCGCAAGCTGACACCCTGAACCCGACGTGATATAGGACGGAGGCCTTGTAGGTGCCTGCTTTCCAAAGGCGTCCCTGCGCAGCTGCTTGGAGGTGCAGAAGGTTATGAATTCATTCAGTCTCAGGAATGGTTTGGGCTGCAGTGTTTGGCAGCTTTTAGCTTTATGTCGCCGAGGCGTTGCTGAATATCTGAATATGTTGGGCCCTTGTGTTGAATATTCTTAGAATCAGCCACCGAAAACTCTCGGATAAATCGCAGGGTTCCAAAGGTGCAGTGTTTCCAAGCTGTAGCATCGACTTGACTCAGGCCATCTCAGGCCATGCCATGCTTCAGACTTTGGTGCATCATACTGTGGGCTACAGATTGGACGAAAAACCCGGAACTCACATACCCTTGGCCCTAAACTCCAAAAAGTCTTCGCAAATCTGAGGTGGCCGCCGTCTTGAGCTTGAGACCTTCTCCCCACTCCCCACTTCCCCTGGCCTGGGCCACGGTGAAGCTGGTGGATTCCTGGCCGTCCACCTGCCGCTGCCTGGTTCAAGGGGCAGCCGATCCTACTGCATGGATCCTGTTGCAAGCGGAGACATAGGGTAGCATAGTCATATAGGGGTCTTAGATCCCTAAACCCTAAACCTTAAACCGTGCCTGCCGCGGCCTCGGTAGTGGACCTTCTCTGCTGAAACCTGGCAAGGCTGTCGGAGCAGCCAGAAACCCGGAGAGCAAAAACATACCCCTAATTGAGGAACATACCTCAATTTACGAAGGGCTTAATAAAATGATTTGAAGCATCTTCGGGAATTAAGGGGTATGGGGCTCTCCAAAAAAAGGAAGAGAGGACAAACAAACAAGGATCCCATGGCAGGTGCCTCGAAAAGTTGATGGGGAACAAGGGATTTGTAGTCCGCGAGGAGGAACTCTTGGAGGGTCCCGGGACTTAGTCTACTCGAATACAATTTTCTTATTTTATGGAGATACAAGTATATATCATAACCCCAAAAAAATCCCTTTTAGGGCATGTATCACTCTACTTACGAAATCGCACACCCTAAACCCCAAACCCTATAACCCCTAAACCTCTAAACCCTAAACCCCTAAGCCCCTAAACCCGTAAACGTTAAACCCCTAAACCCTAAAGCCCCACCCTTGAACCCCACAAACCCCTAAACCCAAACTTGAAACCCCCAACCGGAACCCCCGAGCCTGGCACGCGCAGGAGGATACCCCCGAGCCATACAGCGAAGGCCCCTCCACCTCAAGCGGCGTTTACTGTGTTGGGCTTAAGGCCCTAAACCTTAAACCCGAAACCCTTCAAGGTTTAAGATTTAAGGCTTAGGTTGAGGGGATTAGGCTTGCGGGTTTAGGGGGTTTCGGGTTCAAACGTTTAGGAGTTTAGGGTTTAGAGTGTTGAATAGCCTTTGACGCTGGAACTGGTACCCTGCAATTCGCAGGAGAACTAGCAACTACGCGTCCGGCGATTCTGAAAATTCATACAAGTTCGTACCCTTGGACCTTCGGAGGCGTCGGGAGCTGTCCGGCCACGAGCGTGCTGTTCGGCAGCATCCGAAGCCACCTGGCGATTTCTTATCAGTTCTTTGGAATTCTTTGGAAGGTCGAAAGGCATTCGGTACAGGTGTAGGGGGTTTCCGAACCACAAGCTTCCAAAAGCTGGCCCAGGCACGGGCAGTTGCAGTGCAGCTGGAAATTCTCCAAAAACTGGCCCTGCGGTAGCACCTGTTGGTGGAGATGGAAAGGCTTCGTCGCCGACTCCGGATCCAAACCCCAGTACTTGAAGAGCAGGAGCTGCTGCCCGTAAGAGAACGAGGCCACCGGAATCTTGAGGCTAACTGTCGCAGAGACTCCGCGAATGGGATCTTGCAGCAGCACCATGGAGCACTTGATCTCCGTGGTGCTGCCGTCGCCGGGAGATGATACGTTGCCTTGAATCCTCCCCGGGGACCCGGAGAGATGCAGCCCCCACTCCGCAAGATTGCAGCTACTGATCTGGCTTCCTAGGGTTTGGGGCTCCGGGAACTCATCGACGACATCCCCATACACCAGTGATTTTTGGGCGAAGGGCATGGAAGTGGGTGTGGGTTGCACGCTGCCCCCGCCGCACACGCAGCAGGCTTCACTGGGGCGCACTCCATGAAAGGGCTCATCGTGGCCAGCCTCTACAAAGCCATGGCAGAAACCTTTGGATGCATAGTCCCGACACCCAAGACCGTGGGAGTCTTGCCATCCAGGCACATCGTCACACAAGAAGCACTTCGTTACATTCAAAAGCGGGATCTGTTGGTGGACGTAGCCGGCAGCGCATTCCTGGCAGGTGCCATTTGTAATCTTGCGACACCCTCCGCACTGTTGGCCGGCATCACAACACGTGAAGCTGTACTCGTTGCCCACAAAGTTGCCAATCAACATCTGGCCTGTCGGGCACTTGACCCGGTCAGGCAAAGGCTTCTCGTGGCCACGGTCGAGTGCCACAGCTTGGAGCAAAGTCGCCAGCTGCGCTGGCCTCTTGTGCTTGGTCCGGCCACATTGCTGGAAGCGCACGCCCGGCGTGGACCAGGGTCCCTCCTCAGGCCGCGACTCAGGCCCTGCGAGCTCAGTTGCAGGAGGTTCTTCAAGCGAAGGCTTCTCCGTGTCCAGTCGCAGGAGCGCGGGTGGCCTCTTCTGCAAATTGCAGCTCAGGTCTGGTCCGTCTGCACAAGCAGAGCGAACAACAAAAAGCAGAACAAACAGCGTGCGAAACATGGCTCGCCAGCACATGTGTACACGCCCAATACAACCAATGCCTTTTATGAGTCGGTCCCCACAGCCCTTTGCTTCCAAGCTTTCAGCTGCCCCCACTTAACGTCAGCCCCAAAGTCTTGAAGAACACTGGGCTGTGATGCCCCCAATGGGAAATGCTCTACTTAGGCCCCCCAAGAAAGCATGCAAAAAAATGGCCCCCTAAGGCATTGAGAAGCGGCAGAAGGCGATGGTATAAAGGCGCATGGGATCGAGGTACATTTCAGGCACAGCGGATGGCGTCTCAAATCTGTCCATCCGAGGCAAACAAGACCATCTACTCCAGCTCACAAATCTGAACCCTTCAGCCGATGTCCTTGTAATTGTAAGTATGCCTGACAAGGTTCAACCCTCACAGTTTGCTGGTCCGCCTCACGCGGTCTTACAGGTAGTATCTACCATCACATGGACTCTCTGCAGGAAAGATCCGCTTTGATGCAGGAGGGACCGGATGCTCCTGCATATGTACACCCGGATCTCAGTGCCTGCATTGCATGCATGCATGCATGCATGCGTTTATGCACATAAGATTACAATCAACCACTAACTAATGAAGGCAGGTGCAGGATTCAGCGGGTGCATGCGTAAGCATACATTGAACAAAGGCCAATCTTTGCCTCAGCCCGGCACACGAAAGGCGAAGAGACAATGTGCGAAATCGGCCTGCGCGAGAAACTGGCCGGCTGCGAAAGGTGGATATAAGCTTCAGAAACTACGTAGGTCTTGGTGTTTCAGATTAGAGGTTCGGGGCCCATCACAAACAGGGTTTGGGGCCAGGGTGAAGAGCTGTGGGCCTAGGCTTCATAGGCTTCAAGTTTTAGGAAATCTTTTAAAGCTCTAAACTCTAAACCGTGAACTTGGAGGGCTTGGGAAGTACAGTGCTTTTTCAAGCACCCAGAGTGCGGAAAAAACGGCTTAGGGAACAGAGGGAGCTCTCTCAGAAACTGTCTAGGGTGTAGGGTCAAGGGCTTCACGGATGGGCTCACGCTTTGGGGTGAGACGATGTTGCTGCCCCAGCACGCCAGACAAGAAACCGTTCATGTGCTTGCAAAAGCACTGACTCTGTGGCGGATTGCGCTCGCGACGACACGACAAACACCCGGAAGAAAATTGATCCAACCAACTTTGGAACATGACATTCAGATTCCAGATTCCAGCTCCAATTGTGACTGCGACAGAAACCGAGACCGATGCATCTAAGCACACACTTAAGAATTCAAAAGTTCACTCCAAAGAAAGACGCTAACATGTAGGATCGAAAACCTCGTCGGAAAAAGCTCCACCGTGTCAGAAGGCTTGGTGCCATCCAAGCAGCGTAGAAGCATGAATACTTTGGAGCCTTTGCCGCTTGCAAAGGCAAGTAGTGGCTTCCAACTCCCAGGCCGAAGGCTAGCGGCTAGGGTTTACATGAACCCGAAAACGCGGACCTGTTTAGGCTTTAGGGTTTAGGGTTTAGGGCTTAGGGTACTGTTTGGAGTCCTTACAATGATTTGATTAAACAGCTACTTGGGTTCTTCAGGGCCCAGGTAGGATTCAGAAGGCCTCCGAGGCTGGACCAACAACCGCCGTAGATCCCGGACCAAACGGCTTGAGGCAGCAGAGTTGCCATCAAGCCTCTCTAGAAAGGATTCTGTGGGTTTAAGGTTTAGTGAGGGGTTTAGAGGATTCGGGTTTAGGGTTTGAGACCTTTACGGGAGTACTGAAAAGCTTGAACTCTGTACTTTATATTGGCCTATCAAGTGGTTTGGGTGTGGCGTGCCTTTCGGCAAATTGCCAGAATAGCCACAGCTCCGGATTTCACTTCGTCTCTTGGAGGTGTAGCTGGGAAGTTTCCTGCTTGCGTTTGGGTGCAAAGAATTCAACATGGCACCGCTGGAAGCCTCCGTCCGACCCCTGGACCCTAGACAAACCTCCCGACCACACGAACTGCAAAATCCCTACGCATTGGGATCTGCGGCCAGTGGCTTCAGCCATAAACCCTGGATCAAACCCCAAACTCTGAACTTCAAAACCACTAAACCTCTAAACCCCTGAAACCTTTGAGACCCTAAACTCCTAAACCCCCAAACCCCTACACTAAACCCCTAAACTCTAGGGTTTAGGGTTTAGGGTCCTGGATCAAACCCCAAACCCCTCCCATACGAAATCCGCCCCGCGGCTTTGCCGCCAACTCTGCAGCTCCCACTTCCCCGCCAGGCGAAAGGTGAGGATCGTCCGATCCTCTGCTCGCATCTTCAAGTCTGGGGGGCCTTTTTAGGGTGGCTTTACCCATAGGCCCTAAAGTAGTTCCTTTTTAAGAATACCTAATAGGATCTATATATGAACCCCAAAAAGGAACTACTTTGGGGCCTTAGGGTAGGGTTTAGAGCTTCAGGGGTTCAGTTCAGGATTCAGAGTTTTACTGCTTTAGGGTTCAAGGCTTTTGGGGTTTTGGGGTTCAGGGCTTTAGGGCTTGGGGCTTAAGGGCTTAGGGTTTTGGAGTGCTTTAAGGCAAGCTTTGAGGCTTCAGGATGTAAGGCTTAGGGGCTTACGGCTGTTGGAGTTTAGGGCTTAAGGTTTAGAGCTGGAGGGTTGGAGGCTTGATGTTGTAAACTTTAGGGTTTAGTTTACGGGTCCTGGAAAGGTTACCAAACATTCCAGGGTTACCTAAGGTTCGGGGTTTAAGGCTTCAGGTTTCGTGTTCAAGGCTTCAGGATATCAAGAGTTACTCGTAACGGTTTGAGTATGTTTAAGTGCTGCACGCCGTGCAGCATCGGAACGCTTACAGGTTGAGGGTTGGGGCTGTTTAGGTTTTAAAGTTTTAAAGTTTGAGGGAATGGCGACTTCCGCAAGTTCTAAACCCTGAACCGTAAACCCTGAACCGCAGCATAAGGCATGTGGCTGATGACTGGCCTTCCGGAACCTGACAGCGAAGCTTCCAAGTTCAATGGCTGAGGAATTTCGTAAGGAAGTTTAGGGTTCTCATGTGTCCAACCCCCCACAATCCAACTCGCTTCTTTGTCCAAAGGTCTTTTGTGGCCAGCTCTCGCAAGCCAATTCCTGCCGCAGCCAACCAGGGTTTGGGGGTGTGGTGTTTAAGGCTGAGGGTTTACTGATTTGCAGGGTTCAAGGCTTAGATCTAGGGTGTCCAAGGACTTGGTAAACCATCGGTAAACACTTGCAGCGAGGACAAGAACCTTGAAATAAAGCTGAACCCTGCGGTAAACCACCCTTGAACCCTAAACTCTAAATCCGAGAGCCTGAAGGCTAAATGCAAGAAGACCGGGCCACCGACATTCAGAACAGGTGTTCGGATGCATAAAAGCTAAAACCCTACCCTGACACTATCAGTTCTACCTTTGAACTCTGGGTGGTCTCTTGCCTGTCTTCCTTGTCAATGCGGGCGCCGTGCCGCGTAAGAAACACGTCCATAGCGCTCTCGACGTTCTAACTACTAAGATTGACTTAAAGTGTTGGAGTCTCGAGTTCACTTCGCAGAGGTTTAGTTCGGGGTCCCGGCACTGGCGCTTGCTATATAAGGCTCATCTCCTGGATGAGAGCAAAGAGCATTCGGGTTCAATACTTGCCCACGGTGCTGACGACGGTTGCGCAGGATTCGCATGCAGTTTTAGAGGTGTGGGTTTAGGGTTGGGAGTTAAGCCTGCGCACTAACGCCGTGCATCGACTCTCAGCCCAAGTTCTCCGTGTTGGAGAAATGGCTTGGGCATCCACAACGATAAAGCCACCACAGATCTTATGTCTTATGCTTGATGCACTGGGCCTTGGTGCTTTTGACACACGTTTTGGAACGGTCCTTTATGTATACTGTGGACCAGCTTGTTGTTGTATGCAAGCGCGGAAGCAAAGTCCAAATATGGAGTGGCACACGACAGAGCGGTTTAGACATCATTTACGTTCCGGGAAATATCGAAATGCATCAGCTCCATTTGAGCAACATGACTAATGCAAGCAGCCGTGTTAGTGCTCCTGCTCCTGCTCCTGCTCCTGCTCCTGCTGCTGCTGCTGCTCCTGCTGCTGCTGCTGCTGCCGCTACGGCTACGGCTACGGCTACGGCAACGGCTACGGCTACGGCTACGGCTACGGCTACGGCTACGGCTACGGCTACGGCTACGGCTACTGCTACTGCTACTGCTACTGCTACTGCTACTGCTGCTGCTGCTGCTGCTGTTGCTGCTGCTGCTGCTGCTGCTGCTGCTGCTACTTCTACTGCTACTGCCGACGACGGGCACAACGACTCCCACTCCTACCCCTACGCTACCCCAATGCCTACTCCAACGATAGTAATATCAAAGATAATAGCATATATAATGTACGTGATACTGATACTTGCATGTACAAATATATACTCACTCACCACCGCCGACCAGCACCAGCGCTACTCCTGCTTCCACCACCTACACCAGCACCAGCACCAAAGCCGAACACCAAACACCAGCATCAACACAAACAGCACCACCACTTTGCCGCTATTGCTGCGGCTATTCCTTTTTCATCTGGCCGGACCAATTAATCTACGAGGCCAACAACCGTGAGGAAGCACTGAGAACTACTTCAGGATCGTTGTGTGGAACACACGCACAGGGTTGTTCCGCGTGCGTCCCTGTATCTAGCCTACAAAAACGAAAGTTTCGTTCCGGTCGGATGGCTGGATTTTACATATCTTGTCGGGATTCAGAGGATTCTGATGTGGGAAATGTCAATGCTTTACTTCCGGCAGCAGGGACGCATCCAGGAATAACATGCGCAGTCAGAGCAAACGGCCCCACCGGATACTTTGTCTGCATAGCAGACCAGTGAGGCTAATCCAGGTTTTTCCTGGAAGTGGCACGACCCAGGCTTGACCTGACGTGTGCCCCGACCTACAAACTATCGACCGTATACAGCACTTACAACAGACCCCCTGCTGCCTAGAAGACTCATGTCAAGGCCTCGCAGTACAGACAACTGATCGGTGCTTGTTAAGGCGTAGGACGAACCCTTGGAAGCCTATATGGTCTGCAGGCTCAAGCCCAGCTCGCACTCACCACGTGCGCAAGAACTGGCATGCATGGTACCATTCCCGCAGACATACACAGATGTCGAACTGCTCTCTACGATGTCAAAGTCTGAGCGGGGCTCCCGAGGTAACCTGCACCAGGCTCTATTTAACTGCGTCAAAAGTCTGTGTTCCTACTCCGAATTCGCGTTCAAGCAAGGATCTCGTCCCTCAAACTGAGCACTTTGTCCTGCGGCAGTGTTCATGCGTTCATCTACAGAGGCATGAAAGGAGCTGAGTGTTCAGTACAACGTAATTAGGAAACTTGCTGTGTGGACGATCTTAACAATTGGAAGCAACGTGCTGATCAAGTTACAGCATGTCACTGATAGCAGGGGAGCTGAAAGGACGGTAATTCGAAGTATTCCGGTTGCATACGTGCGCTCGAAGCCATGCCACTTCTCCATCGTCATCGTCATCATCGTCGTCATCATCATCATCGTCATCATCACGATCACTACCAGTCACTACCACTACCATCATCATCATCATCAAAGGGACACCGAGCTGGCTCTACCGCAACCAGCATGGGGCTTAACAACGTGGAGGCTTCGTTCGCCAGCTTCGCAAATATTGGATATGCGAGGGGAGCCTTGACTGGTACAAGGCCAAATTTGCTAAACACGGGCCCTGTTCGTGATGATCTGGCTCCTCACAAGGCAGCAGTGTCGTGGCTGAGGTTGGCAGGATCCGTGTCTCACCTGGGCAGCGTCACAATCCACTACCACGGCCATGGCAACTGGCACCTAGATTAGAGAACGCAAATCTGCCCAGCCAGAAGTCCATCCACGAGAAGAGCCGCTCACACAACCTGAATCCCACCGTTCACGCTGTGTGCGCAGGCAGCTCGGCATCGTCGACAGCCGCCTTCTTGCAGCAGGATGTTGTGAAAAGGCTAGGGCACAAAGCGAATGAAAGTCGCTTTGCATTCGTAACATGAAATTTCTGCAAGGATCAAGACAGCCAGAAGAGTCGGAATGTACTACCCATGCTATTGCTGCGGAATTGCTCGGCGTCTGGGGCAGAGGGTCAGAGGGATCGCTGTAAGCAGGAGTTTGTGCATCCGTAGTTCAATCAGGAATTAGATCGAAAGTAGTCATCTAACCCACAAGGCAGGGACCATCACATGTTCGACAGCTTGTGCCTCTAGGGTTGATTTTTTCGGCCCCTGTTTTATGAAACTCGTATCCTTGCTATCTACATTTCCTGCTGTGGAGAATCCTGCTACGGTCATCACTCATACCTATGGGTGGTTGTCAAAATTATGGCCCCTCTTTGGGTACCCTAAATATTAGGTGCCGTATTATAATAAGGACCCAAGAAGGGATCCTAAATTTGACAACCATCCCTATAGACTTGACCCCTCGCCCCTCGCTGGAAGGCCCGACACTGAACCAAAATCGAACAACCGCTGGGCCCTGAACCCTAACCCCAAACGCAGAAACCCACGGAAGGCCTCCACCATCTGCATCAAGGTGAGGCTCCGAAGTGGCTTCGGGTGCAGTGGCATCTGACACAGGAAACACTCCCGGTTTCGGGGTTTGAAGCTCCCTTAGAGCCTTAGTGTCTCATGGTTTAGGGTTTAGGGGTGGTGTGTTGCAATCTTGCACCCCAGCCCTTCATAATGTTACTTTGGGGGTGTGCTTTGGTAGGAAGGGCTATCACGAAACGAAGGCCGTCTGAAACGCAACATGCTGCAGCTCCAAGCCCCAGACACCTTTGCACTCAAATGCAGATATGCCTCCCGCAGGGACAAACAAGAGAGGCGAGCAATGCATCGGCGACCAAGACCAACGAAGATGGGTATGACGAGCGTCGCTGAGGGCATTGTAACCCTCTTTTTCTGACAACAAGTTTGTGATGGCCGGACTCTTCGAAACCGACGGCGCGGCGACAGTCAGGACTGCAACCCGGCAACGGTCCAGGAGGGTTTAGTCACACACACACACACACAAACGCATCATCATCATCATCATCATCATCATGCTTGACAATGTAAAGAGACTCTGTGAATGCTCGAGGCGGCGGGCGAAACGAGTTCTGATAATTTTCCAGGGGCAGAGTGAACCGCCAATTCGGGCTGTATCTCGAAACCTACTGGGTTTAACAACCACACGAGAAACCCGTTTGCTCTTCGGATTGCCATCGCAGAGCGCCTCCTGAATGAGCTTGGATGCAACGTGCTTGGACAGCACATGTGCTCCGTCCTGCCGCGGGCTTAAGTACTGGCTTAAGTTGCCTACTTGTAAGTTTTGAATTGGTTTGCGATGCTTGCTTGTGCTGCTCCCGCATAGATACTGCGAGAAGAACCCTTGAAGCCTACAGGTCAGGGTTTCCGGGTTTAGGTGGGAGCCTCGGGATTTGAGCTTCCCTCAACCGGAGTCCCCGGCATGCGCGCAGGGCACGGCGCCGCGCACGCTGGTGCCCACAAGAATTCCGTGAACGCAGCCGGGTGGTGACGGGCAGAACTCCGAGCCGAGCGCCTGTGCAGAGAAGTGAAGCGAGGTTCATTTTACAGGGTTCTATATAAGGGTTACTATAAGGGATCTGTAAGGGTTCTATAATATAGGGGCCTTAGTAATTAGAATAAGGTTTTGGGGTGTGTGGAAATGGCGTTCATAAAGGTTCAAGCCTTCTGGCAGGTGGGATTTCGGGTTCGCCTTGCGCTTTTAAGATCTCGACTTCTGTGGCTTTCCGCAGGCCTTGCGTTGGGCCCACTTCAGGATGCCGCGAAACCAGGCCTCATCTTCTTTTATGATAAAGGGCTATATTTATCTCAGTGAAAAATTTGGGGAGGAAACACTCCGCGGAACGTGGATGAGAATTGCCATCATGATTTCCTAAAACATGCAGCATGAAAAAAATCCGACATACTTCGGGTATAGTATACCCCAACACCCCTGTTGAAACTATTAGGGCATGGCATAAGGACGACAAGCCCACTTGAGCCCTTGCAAGACTCAAGGCTTCAGGGGTTCGAGGGCCGAACTTGTTATCGTAGCCCGCCTACAAAAAGCATTATTGAATACTCTAACCCGTGGTTGGAAAGAAAAGCGAAGACTGCCGAGAGGACCAAGCAGTTCGAGCTTGAGAGTCTATCCAAGTCCAAAATTCAAAGCCTGCATCCCGCAACCCTGCGAGAAGCCAATACCCCTAAGCCCACAGCATCCCAAATCCAAAATCCGCCTGCAGCGCTGACGCGGCCAACCTGGCGGCTTTGCACTAGACCTACCCTAAACCCAAACCCTAAACCCTGGACCCCAAAGCCCCTAAGCCCCTAAACCCCTAAACCCCAAACCCCTACACCCCAAACCCGTAAACCCTCAACGGCCTCTGCCCCAGGGGCTGGCCCGGGTCCGCTGCGGCCAGCACGGGCATCTTCAGCGCCTTTGCCGGTTGAACCAATGTGTTATGTGATAATACAGCATACTATATTGCATTTTCCTATATTACATTCTGGTATTTCATATTTTTATAACATAATAGAACGTAATAGAATGTCTCAGAGTATGATATAATCCATGCTGTTCCTCTGCAATCCGTTGCCCCGGAGCTGGAGACTGCTTTTCCTGGCTTCCCCTTCGACAAATTGCCACTGCCCCGTGCACAGACTCAAATGCCAAGCGCCTCCCACGTATCTGGCAGGGCCACATGATCCAAGCGCTTCTTCTTCAGCTGCTGCTGTTGGTAGAGCGCCAACGCCTGCGTTTTACTCTTACCCCAACAAGGGGCCTGTGGATCTATAATTCCGAGCCCAGGGCAACAGGGGGCCTCTCTTGGGCCCTATAAGGCGCAGAAGGGGTCTTCACAGCATCTCGCGTGACTTTTCGCAGCGCTGCCTGGAAAGTGACCACATCCTGCATGAGCCCCCACGCCGTGCGATCCAGTGCAGCGGCCGCAAGCGCCTCCCAGGGAGCTGGTGGGGTCTGGGATTTGGGGCTCACCGCTAAGGTTCATTATATCAATACTAGTACTGGTTGTGCTTGTAGTAGCCTAAGCACTAGTCGCTTCTGTAGTAGCGGTAGCGGTAGCGGTCGCAGTGGCGTTAGGGTAGCGGTAGCGGTAGCGGTCGTAGCGGTAGCAGTAGCGGTAAAGGTAGCGGTACCTGTAGGAGTAGGATTGGGAGTAGTAGTAGTAGTAGTAGTAGTAGTAGTAGTAGTAGCAGTAGTAGTAGTAGTAGTAGTAGTAGTAGTGGTAGTAGTAGTAGTGGTAGTAGTAGTAGTAGTAGTAGTAGCAGCAGTAGCAATAGCAGTAGCAGTAGCAGTAGCAGTAGCAGTAGCAGTAGCAGTAGCAGTAGCAGTAGCAGTAGCAGTAGCAGTAGCAGTAGCAGTAGTAGCAGTAGCAGTAGCAGTAGCAGTAGCAGTAGCAGTAGCAGTAGCAGTAGCAGTAGCAGTAGCAGTAGCAGTAGCAGTAGCAGTAGCAGTAGCAGTAGCAGTAGCAGTAGCAGTAGCAGTAGCAGTAGCAGTCAGTAGCAGTAGTAGTAGCAGTAGCAGTAGCAGTAGCAGTAGCGTAGTAGTAGTAGTAGTAGTAGTAGTAGTAGTAGTAGTAGCAGTAGCAGTAGCAGTAGCAGTAGCAGTAGCAGGAGTAGCAGTAGTAGTAGTAGTAGCAGTAGCAGTAGCAGTAGCAGTAGCAGTAGTAGTAGTAGTAGTAGTAGTAGTAGTAGTAGTAGTAGTAGAAGCATCTCGGCTCGCAGAGCGGAAGGCTGCTTGCACGCCTTGGCGGCGTGCCTGTTCGGGCGAGAGTTTTGTTTGCTGTTGGTCCTCGGTGTGGTTCGGGGCTCTCGCTTTGTCTGTTTCTTTCTTCAGGGCGGCTGGAAGTAGCATGCCATGGAAGACGAGAGCATGGAGCTGTGCCCCTGGCACGGCGCCAACAAGGTGCCACGAAAAGCTCACTGGTGGAAGATGCAGGACGTGCATGAAAAGCAGATTTATGATCTGGCTATGGAGTTTCTTTGTGCAGAGCTTCGGATCTTTTCTGTTGGACGTCGCACAGACCTGCAAAACATGTATAGCATACGGTGGCAGAGGGAGGGATCTTATGTTGTCTGGCAGCAAGCTTGGTGCTGGCTCGAGCCGGACAGACGGCCGGAGTTCATCCGAAGGACGTTTTGCATTGATGATGACTTCGCTGCAAGTGTTCTGGAAGGAGCCTACGCTGCTGATCTGTGCAATACGATTTATCTTGATAGGATGGACTGAGCCAAGCATTGAAACTGCTCTTCAGAGAGCTCTTCTGGGAGCATACAAGCGGGCACGTCGTGAGCCCTCCTCGGGCTACCACTGGCAGGTGGGCCCGGCAATTTTTCTGCATATCCTGTTGCCGTTGCTGGCTGGCAGTTTCGTCGTTGCAAGAGACCTTCTGGCAAGTCTGCTGATTGTTTGCTGTTGGGCTCAAATCAGTCATCTCACTGGCTGTGGACAGGTGGCAATCATTAATTGTGGACGGGCCTTTCTAAAAGGTGCATGGAATCAACGAGAGAGCCAGGCCGACTTGGACACACCACGAGGCGAAGGACTCGCTCCCGAAGTCCACGGAGATGTAGATATCTGCTGCCCCCGCCGCCACAGGCGGGTGATCCACCGGCGGGCCCGCCAGTTCCCGTACCTGTGTATGTTCAGACAGGGACTGGGGTCGAGGATGAAGCTGTCTTTCAAAGCTGGGAACATGAGAGTTTTTCAGATGGGCACGCTTCGAACCCCGACTCCGAGGGGATTGATGTCCGTGAGCTGGCACAGCAAGCCAGGGACAATCGAGCACGCCGAGGAGGCGACAGACCTTCAGTGGCCCACCATTTGGAGGCGACGACGGGGACTGGCACAGAGCCATCCACCAGGCCTTGCACTTCACGGAGGGTGGAACCAGCAGCAGAAGCAGAGCAGGGCGAAGATGGAGAAGAAGAGCGAGACTTCGAAGACGACCCCTGCCTTGCTGATGCAACAGCACATGCACTTGCTGAGGAAGACTCTGATGCGGAGGTCTCCTGGTTCACAGACTCGTCGCCTGAGTTGTCAGAAGGTCTCCCTCGAAAAGCGACTCAGACCAAGGATTAGAATTTCTTTTGGTCCTTGCTTTTCGCCTAGGCCTGTAAGGGCTACGTCTGCTCTGCAGTACGCTGCGGGACTAGCCGGTTGGCCTTGTAGAGGGGCCCTTATAAGACTGACTTCAGTGCTGAAGATGCGGAAAACAGCTGCGATCGAGTGGTGGCACTGGGCGACTCATGGGCTCTTGCTGACGGGAACAGTATGCTACCTCATCCAAGCCTGCCAGGTTCTCTATTACTACATGTCTGCCGGCTTGGGCGGTGACCTCAGAGCTATCAGCAGGAGTTATCTTATTCAATCAGTGCTAGTGAACAGTACAAATTGCTCGAACAGATTCACGACTTCTACATGGACAGTCCAGCAGCCGATCCACACAGCAAGAACGAGCCGCCTGGGTCCCAATTCCCAGGGTCACCGTCGTGCACTACATCCCTGTTTTCTCTTCTGGTTGATCTTGCTGTCAGGGATATGCAGATGTACAGCGGCGGCAGATGCGAGGGTTAGTGGTCCGCCCACGGGACCACTGGGAGTATCAGCCTCGGCTGGTGCAAAATACAGTGGGTTATCCGGCGGTACAATTGGTGCTTCGAACCTGCCTGCTGCAAGGAAGCGATCCTTCAAGCGGGCACTTCAGAGAGCTATGAGGACCGGAAGCACCATTTATCGAGGTCGCTTGTATACCTCAACAGGACTCGAAAACATGAGAACACGAAGCAATCCTGAAAATATTCGAACCAATGCCAAAAGACATGAGTCTAAACGACTTCGCGTGCTAAGTGTGAACCTTGATGGGCTAACCACGGTTGTGTATGATTCTCTTGCCAACTGGATGCAGACTGCTCCTTATGATGTGCTTCTACTACAAGAGACACACCGCGGATTTGGGGCGGAGCAGGCGGAGTGGAAACTGGGTCAATGGACGATGATTAGTTCACCAGATCCCAAATCGCGCTTTGCAGGGGTCGCCATTGCCATCCGCACCACGGTCGCCGCCCACTTCACTGCTCGCTGCTTACCAGTCATTCCGGGGAGATTGTTACATGTTAGATTGAGCGGGGACACTTACAGCATCGATCTTCTTAGCTGTTATCAACATGTCATCTCCAGCAGGGAGCAAAGACACATCAATGCCTCCAAGATACTGCTACCCTTCCGCAGCGAAACCTGCTGATAGTGATGTGGCTGGTGATTTCAACTGCGAGGCCAGGCGAACACCGGGGACAGCAGGTGGCTCGGCACCGCAGGCAAATGCCTACTACTTCGATCAGGATGACTTCATAGGGTTCGCACAGGCAAACAGCCTCTGCTTCCTCAACACGTGGGGCAACAACGGTGCCCAGGACATGAACACGTTCATCAACGGCACCAGCAATAGTCAAATAGACTACATCCTGACGAGGCGGTTTCAGGCGGATGCTCTTTCTCGACGGGCTTATCCAACCCCCAAACCCGCCCATCCATTCAAGCCCAGAAGCTGTAGGTAGGAAGGGGCACACAGGTAGGTAGAGAGGTATAGTTAGGTAGGCAAGTAGGTATGGATAAGTAGATAGGCAGGAGGGAAGGTACTTGTAGGTGTAGGTGCGTCGGCAGGCTTCCAGGTCAGTAGGTAGGTAGATAGATAGCTAGGTAGGCGGGCATGTAGGTAAGGAGGCATTATGAGGAAAGAGGTTTTAAACCCCTAAACCCCTAACCCCTAAACCTCTAACCCCTAAACCCCTAAACCCTGAACCTTAAATCCAAAACCCGAAACCCTAAACTAACCTTCAACCCTAAACCCTAAAAGGTAGCAGGCAAAAGTAGTTGTAGGCATTCGCGCAGGCCCTGTCAGGATGTCAGGTGGCCACAGCAGGAGTCTTCGGAGCCCCGTACAGGGGCGTACCCGCGCCAAGGCCTGAGTGGGCCGCGGGATGAACCCCGAATAGGGGTGAGCTTGGACCCCGAACAGGGGTCGTCGGAGCCCCGTACAGGGGCGTACCCGCACCAAGCCCGAACAAGGCTGCGGGATGAACCCCGAAAAGGGGTGAGCCTGGACCCCGAACAGGGGTCGTGAGAACCCCGTGCAGGGGTGTGGATGAACCCCGAACAGGGGTGAGCTTGGACCCCGAACAGGGGTCGTTAGAGCCCCGCACAGGGGCGTACCGATGAATCCCGAAAAGGGGTGAGCCTGGACCCCGAACAAGGGTCGTGAGAACCCCATGCAGGGGTGTGGATGAACCCCGAACAGGGGCGAGGATGAACCCCGAGCAAGGGTGAGCCGGACCCTCAAAGACAGATGCAGAGAGAGAGAGAGAGACAGCGAAAATAATTAACGAAGCAGCAAGCAAGGAAGGAAGGAAGCAGGGAAGGAAGAAGGAATGATCAAGATGAGGGTGTGACTGTAGATGTGAGGAATGAGCAGGCAGCAAGGAGTGATGTGAGGGAGGCGGGAAGGGAAGGAAGAGAAGGAAAGTCATGCATGGCATCAGTATCCCTCTGCTCACTTTCAGTCTGTCGGCGGCCAGGCTGAGACAGTCTACCGTGGGTTGCTTCCAAGCTCAACATGTTGGACTGCAGCAGCTTTTCAGCTCAAGATTCAACGAGATCTCGAACCGTTTCTTAATTCTTGGCGCCACTAGCGCCATTTCTGAGCGAGTACTCTGAGGCGATTGCACAAGTCCTGATGCAAACAAGGCAGTGTTATTGACATGCGCATACACGCAGATCGTCAAACTCAAGACTAGGAAAGAAGTGCCCCAGTTCGACGTACTGCCACGGAATTGCAGCAATGGATCGAACGGATTTTGGCAGGCTTCATGGACCTGAAGGAACTGATTATGATTCTG